GTGAGGGGGTGTTGGGTGGGGGGGGGGGGGGTGTCTGTGTGTGTGTACACACACACAGCTTGTTGCTGCCTAGGAGCAGAGCAGCCTGGTGTTAGCAAAATATCGGGTTTGGTTTGGGAGGCTTTTTAGCTGGAGAGGTGGATGTGAGCTGTGTTGCTTCCATGGGGGAGGACTGCCCCCTTTGCCCTCTGCAAGAGCTGCATGGTGAAGGGCTGTGATCCTGCTGTTCCTGGGGTTGAAGGGCAGAGACGCCCTGTTCTGCTGTGGGGTTTATTTGTTGAATGTGGCTTGGTGTTCTTGGGGTGGCTTGAAAACCCTTTCTCCTGCCTTGTCCACCTATTAATCTCTCTCTAGAGTGTAAGTTACTCTTCATCTCCCAAATAGACCTGCTCCACCCATGGTGGGGCTGAGAGCTGTGGAAGTCTGACCCTCTTCTCTTTGTTCCCTGTCACCAGTTGTCCTGGGTGAAACCCTCAGGGAGTTAAACCCACTGAGCTGGAAACTGTACCAGAGCCGTCCTCTTCTCCCTGCCCCAAGCTCTGGGGCTGGGCCGGTCCCCAGCAGCGTGCAGGCAGGTGCCTGGGGAGGGGGCAGCTGTGCATTGAGGCAACAGGGCACGGCATCCCATGGGGGGGATGTGGCCCTGGCACGAGGCGCTCAGCCGCGTGTTTTGCTGGGTGACTGCGGCGCCGTGTCGAGCCCTTGCACCCTGTGCTCGCTGTGAAGGTGCCGCTCAGAGCGGGGCTGATCCTGGGGACTCTTTCCAAGCCCCTACCCCAAACCCCGTGAGCTGTGTGGGTTTATCTGCCTGGGATTTCCCCTGTGCGCTCTTCAGGTCTGTCTCAATGTATACCCCAGCCAGGAGCCCATCAGCATTGCCCTGGGAGCATCGGGGCCAGCCTGATTGTTCCTCCTCTCTGAAAATCCCCCCCTTCTGCAGTGAGGAGCTCTCTCCTGTTTGCTGCCAGGCCCTGCAGCACGGTGGGGAAGGCAGCTGGAGGGCTGCCCGCACCGGCAGCGATGCCCGGGAAAGCTGGGCTCAGCAGGTTGGTGGGTGGCCCCGTGACCCTGGCCCTGCTAGCAGCGGAGCTGATGGAGGCACCGAAGCTTCGAGAGGCAGCTAACGCTTCCCTGCTGTGCCCCCCCTGGGGAGGATCTGGGCTTTGGGCTTATTCCTGGCTGTCAGGGAGAAGTAGAGGGAACAGGACATGGAGTGGGGACCACGTCTCCCCATGCAGACTGCCTTCCTGGAGGGATGTCTGGAAACAGCACGGGGCTGAGCTTGTGCAAAACGGACCGGAGAGGCTGGGTGCCTGCTGGGGCAGAGGGCTCGTCGGGTGGCACCTGCTTGTCCTCATCCCTTTGGGTAAGGAACCAGCTCTAACCGGTCACCCCTTGGGTTGGATGTGCACTGGGGGCTGTGCTGAGAGCCCCCAGGGGCACCGTGCCATCGGCTGATCGTGCTGCCAGTGCAAGAGGTTTCCTTTAGTTTCATGGTCCTTCTGAAGTGGTCATCCTGTGCCCTCATCCTCTCCTTGGGGCAAGGTGGGGTGCAGAGCTGGCAGCTTGGCAAGCTGGGCTCAGCCTCTGTGGTTCCCAGCCTCTGGTGTGATGCGCTGGCACCAAGCCCGTTGTCCTGCTGAGTGCTGAGCAAACAGAGCAAGGGGCTCCTCTGACCCAGGGGCTGGGACCAACACCCAACACCCCAACGTAGATCCACAAGAAAATACTCCAGGGACTTCAATGTGTGGACCAAGGGGCCCTACCAGTGGTGAGTTTCAGGAAGGGGGGCTGCACGAGAGCCGTTTGGAGCCTATGGGCCATCTTGTGTGGCTGGAGGCAGGGCTGTGCTGCGAGCCCCAGCATGGACCATGTGGATCTCCAGCTTTGCAGCCGTGCCTCTCCTCCAGCATGACAGAGGGGAGTTGTCTCTACTTGGGGAGCAGCTGGAGGATGTGAGTGGGCAACAGGATGAGCAGGAAGCAGGCAAGGCTTTCCTTCCACGTGTTCTTGCTAATGAAAACCAGGAGCTGTGCCACCTCTGAGTGCAGCAGCGCCTTGTGAAAACATCATCGCAGAACTGTCCGGGTGTCCTCTGGGCAGCACAGCCCCTCTGCTGGGATTCCCTGGGAAGGTGGATGATGGCAGCAGGGGCTAATGCATGGAGACCAGGGAGTTCTGGCTCTAACAAGGGCCATGTCTGGCTGATTCGGCAATGCCTAGCTGGGATGCCTTCCCCCCCAAGTGGGAAATGTTGGGTTTGGACTTGGCTCAAAGCGAGCACGTGGTGTATGCAGCAATTCCTTGGACTTGCCACCTCTCTGCCCTGAGTTTTTTCCAAGGACAGCACAGGGCAGGAGGTTTTCTGCCAACCAATTTGTTGTTTGAATGGGATGTTGACAGCTGGATTGCAAGGTGTTGCTGTGAGGTAGTATTTGCCCTCGGAAAGGGCAAATGTGATGGTGCATCCCAATGGTAAAGGTCTGTCCTTCAAACTGGATGCAGTAACTAGTGCTCTGGCTTCTGTCCTGTTTTCTGGTGCTTGCAGAGGCCCTGGCTGATCTCCATCAAGGCCCTTCATGTGTTTGCCTCAGTTTCCATGATGGGGCTGTGTTTGCAGCTGTGAAATGACTCTCCTAGAGTAAACTCACATTGCACTTAGCTGCTGGAGTCCTTTTTCCCCACCTGAGTCTATTCCTGTCTCTCACTTGCAGTCTCAAACAATGAACTACGTGGGGCAGCTTGCTGAAACAGTCTTCGTCACGGTGAAGGAGCTGTACCGGGGTCTGAACCCTGCCACTCTGACAGGCTGCATCGATGTGGTCGTGGTGAGGCAGCCGGATAACTCCTTCCAGTGCTCTCCATTTCACGTGCGCTTTGGGAAGCTGGGTGTGCTGCGCTCCAAGGAGAAGGTGGTAAGTGGTATCTGCCCTGGGACTATGCTTCCTCTCTGGTGTCTCCAGATCTAGGATCTTCCTTAACCCACAGGTTATGGAAGAACTTTGTTTGAGGGGAATGGGAGCCTTGCTGATTTTTGGAGGGGATGCCCCTGAATGAAACCCATCCTCTTTGGAAGAGAACTGTGCTTCCCAGGAGAATTGGGAGCAGTCCCTTGTCTTGAAGGCTGGGTGGCTGTCAGCCCTGCAAGCAGCCCTAACCTGTCCCCTTCCTGGGGAAGTGCCTTTCTGTACACTGATGGGTGAGCGGGATCAGATGGACAGGCTTCTTCTGCCCTTTGCCAGGTTGACATTGAAATCAATGGGGAGCCTGTGGACCTGCAGATGAAGCTGGGTGACAATGGAGAGGCCTTCTTTGTCCAGGAGTCGGAGGAGAACGAGGTTGGTTATGAAGAGGTGCTGCAAGTCTGTGTCCTCCTGTGACCACCTGGAAGTGCAGAGTTGAGGTGGAAGGACCAGATTTGGACTGCTCGTCTTCCCCAGAGTGACTCCTTTATCGCCTCTGATGTCTTGTGTGTTTGGGAAGGTTCCTGCTTGAAGGACCTTGCAACCAGTGTGGAGGATCTGAGCATTGGAGCACCCTGAGGGAGTATTAGACCAAATATCTGCGTCCCGGACTGTCCTCCCTCCCTGGGCATGGCTGCTGGCCAGCCAGGCAGATATCTCGGAGCTTGGCCTCTTGGGGGATCTTGTGACAGGGATGAGAGTGAGATAGATGCTATGGCAGGCTGCCTGCTCCACTGGGAAGGGAGATGAGACTAGTTGTGGCTTCCAGAAATCTTGGCTGCTCTCTCCCAGGCTGACTGGTGGTTGGTGCTAGCTTGGGCTGGGTTTGAGAGCAGGGAGAGGGCTCTAGAGCTGAATCCTATCTGCAGCCTTTGTAATTTTGGTCTCGTGATGCCATCTCCTGCCTGCCTCTCCTTGCCTGTGTTAAAGATGTCTATAGCTTGTAGCTGGATAGCCCTGCTGTTTTTTATTCACGTGTTGCATGTACGAAACCTTTTCTTTTGGGCCTAGCCACAAAACCACCCTCAAGCTGAGGGCTTGGTGATGTTGGTTGTGCTGGTTGTTGCATAGATGAGAGCCATGAGCTTCCAGGCTGGAAGAGAGGACCTTGGAACTGATGGGCTCTTCATCCCTGTTGCAGGACAGCATCCCCTCCCACCTCTGCACGTCCCCCATCCCCAGGGAGGAGAGCCCAGAGGATGCTGCTCAGCCTTCTCATGGGCAGGAGACCTCCAGCACTGAAGCAACCCTGCGCAAGAGGAGGCGGCGCAGGAGGAAGCCCAAGCAGAAGGAGGTGTCGGACTCAGAGTTAGAAGGCTGTGAGGAGACCAAAAGCGAGATGTCCATGGAGGAGCCATGCAAGCTGCCAGCCCCCAGGTGAGTGGTTTGGTCGCAGTGTGGTGATGCACTGGGTCAAGCCTGTAGGTTCACTTGGTGATGCCCAGCAGTACTGAAAGATGAGGATAGTGTTTTGAGTTGGACCTCAGCCTCCTGTGGAGTAGAAAGCCAGTGGAAATGGTGAAGCTGGGTATTGCCAGCCTTTCAGGTGAGGAGGCTGGTGCCCAAGAGTAGCATAGCTGACCTCTTTTGCAGTGATTCAGTGTATTTCTCCTTTGCTGATCTCCCTGAAGAAGAAACTGAGTTGTTGCAGTCCCCAGGGATGCACCCTTACTCTGACGGGGAGCTGGCCTCTGTGGACAGGTAACGGGCAGAGCCAAGGTAATCCTCTCGGCTTTGGTGAGGGTTGGGGAGGTGGTAAGGAAAAGCGATTTGGGGGTATCAGGAGAAGCAGGTTTTCCTGGCCTGATATGCTGTGGCTGGAGAAAAGCTCAAAGCCAATGAGTCACACTTGTGGCCATGGTCACAGATGCAAGAAGCCTGTGTACACAGGGCTCTCCTGCCTCTGCTTCTGAGCTGCTTCTGTACAACCAGTGGCATAGCACTGGCATAACGCTACGTCCTTGGGCCTCAGGTTCCCACAGGTCTTGCTTGTTTGTACGTAACAGTCGTATGGGGCAGAACTGACCTTATGGGAAACCAGCCTCACAGGGTTCTTGGCCCTAAATATCCTTGCAGCGATAGGAAAGCATGGGGCTGTAGGGCAGATGATATCCAACATTCCCTTATCTTGTAGCCCCACCCTCAGCCATCCATCTTCTCCCAAAAGTGACTCTGAGCTGGAGATCAGACCACAGGAGAGTTTTGCTCTAGGGGCTGAATCCCACATGCAGTGGACCTGGGGAAGGCTCCCTCAGGTGAGTCCTTGTTCTTGGTCTTCAGCAGCTAGTGGGAAGGGGTGTCTGAGAGGCCTGCAGAAAGTGGAGGCTGTGGCCAGGCAGCCTTAGAGGAGTTGTTCTCTTCTGCCTGATGCTTTGGGCAACTTCCCATCCTCAAACTTCTTGTTCTGCTTTCTTTGAGGTGAATAAATCAGAACGAGTTGAACCAGCCAAGTTCACAAAGACCTTTGCTACTGCAGCACCTACTGTCTCTGTGACACCAGTCCCAGTGGATGAGACAACCCGTCTTGTTGCCACCTCTGAAGGTTTGGGAGGAGGTCCAAGCCCAGCAGAACATCAGGGTGCACCTTGTTCCTCTGCTGTGTCTGTTGTTGAGGACATCCCTAGTGCTGTGGGGGCGCAGAGCTTGTTGGAGGCCTCCTCAGCCCCACAAGAGAAACAGGAGGGAGGTGGGAGTGTTGTGCCAGAGGTTCAGCCAGATGTGGAGCCCTTTGAAGGAGCTGCTGCTCCAAGGCAGGTGGGCTCAGAGGGCCCTGAACCCCAGCTGGAAAGCCAGAGGAGACAAGGTGAGTGGGTGACTGGTGCTGCTGGAAGTGGTGTTTGAGCCCAGAGATGTATCTGACTTGGATGAGGGGCCTGGGTGGTTCATTCAATGTAACTCCTTCATGACTGCCCTGGGTATTCAAAGTGTGACACGTTTGCTTTGCCCTCTCCATGTGCTACCAGCTCCTTTGTTTTGAAGAGACGTTACTCAGGTTTCCTCCTTTCAGTGACCACTCAGCTCCCCAGGAAGGCTTTCTTGCCTTACATTTCTTTAAGTCTATCCTTGGATGTCACTGCTTCTTCACATGTGTGCTTAGAAGATTTCTCAGCAGAGTAGACCATACCTTAACTTGAAGTGTCTGGCAGCACCTGGCCTGACTTGTGTCTTCATCCATGCCAACTCAGGTGGACAACCGCACAGAGTGAAGCATGTGTATGTCTCCCTTGGCAGTGTATTTAATGACTTTTGTGTTGTTACCTGTGCTAACCAACCTTACTCTTCCAGCCAGCATAAATTCAGAATAAAATTGTCTCCCTGAAGAGACGCTTGGGATTTTTCATTGCACAAAGGAGACCACAAAGTGTTATCTTGCATGGTGCTAACTTCAAATGGCACCCTCAGATTGTCATAGCAGAAGATAGGCAGGACTTTGGCCTGTCCTTTGTGTCCACTTGGCAGGTGGTTTCATGCCAGAACAGACATCTTGAGGTACTGCTATTATTGTTGATTTAAGGTAGCTTTTCAAGTAGGAAGAGATGCCCTTTTTATGATATATGAATATGAAAGAGGAAAATGCTGTTAGCTTTCTTGATAGATGCCAAGATAGTTGGAAAGGTGATTCAGCTAAGCTCTCTCCCTTCTGTCTGTGCATTGAGGATCCACCAAAAGAAGTCCTCACTTGGGTCCCAGTGATGTTTACCTGGAAGACCTCTCCAACCTGGATGAGGAGCAAGCGGCTCTCTATTTCCCCAGGAGGTACGGGTTGCCCCAGCTCAGACCTTCTTGAGCAATTCCCTTACAGCAAAGGATGGAGGTATGTCTAAAGCTATTGCCTGATGCTTCCGCTGTTTCTTCTCTTGCTGGTAGTGACACAGAACAGAGTTCAAAGCCTGTGGCAGACCCTAGCAACGCTCTGTGTGTCCAGCTGCCATCTGACTTGCCTGCTGACAGCCCCACGGACTGTGATGCTGATTTGATGCCTGCAATTGCCCTGTCACTGTGTGGAGGCCTGGGGGACAGCAGGCAGATCTCTCGTGGTAGGTGGGACGGAAGGTGGAATCTGCTGTCCTGAAATCCATTATATACACCAGTGGCATGACACAGCCTTTGTCCCACCAGAGAAGTTCATGGAGCACATGATCTCCTACCAGCAGTTTGCTGAGAATCCAGGACTCATCGATGACCCCAACCTGGTGATACTGATGAACAAGAAGTGAGTGGTCTCCTTTTCCCGCTGCATCATCCCAAGATGACCAATGTGGCCCCTTTTCCCCCACAGAAACACTCCTGCAGGAGTGTGACTCCATCCCAGACAGCGATTATACCGCAGTAGTTGTGGGAGGCACCTTCTGGCCATGCTGCAGGATGGTGATCTGGAAATAGCCCTTGCTCCAGGTGTGGTGATGTGCCCATCCTTCTTGTTTCTTCCAGGTATTACAACTGGGCAGTGGCTGCTCCCATGGTCCTGTCTCTGCAGGCTTTCCAGAAGAACATTCCTGAGGTCAGTGGCACAACACATTTACTGGCCATGCTTCTCAGCAGGACTTGAAGCGTGCAGTGGGGCTGTAAGAGGCCAAGCTGATTGGGGCAGAGCTCAGCATCACTCCAGCCCACAAATACTGAGGTCTGTCCTTTTTCCCAGAGGTACCTCAGGGTGGCTTTTACCACTGATACCTGGAGAGCAGACTTCCTTATCAAAAATCTCCTATTCTGATGGTTGTATCCGTGCAAGGCTGGTCAGAGCCAGGGGCCGTGGCAGTCTGGAGGATTTGGGACTGCATGAGCGTGCTTCAGGGCTCTGTAGGCCTGGCTGAGATTGTATGGAATAAGGCATCCAGATCTTTCTCCTTTCTGTGTGAAGGGAAAAGCCATTGTACCCTTCACCCCAAAACCATCTTGGCTCACAATGTGGCAGGAGTTGCACATCTTATCCTGTGAATAATTTTGCAAAGGAAATCCTGCCTGGGCAAGGGTCTCCTTAGCCTGTTGGCCACTGAGCCTCCCTGGTCTGAGGACTGACTTCATCCCATGCTCTGCCACGTTCACAGAGCACCATTGATCGACTGGTGAAGGAGAAGATGCCCAAGAGAGGCAGCAGGTGGTGGTTCTCCTGGAGGAGGACAGAATTCCCGGTGGAGGAGGTGTGTTTGCAGCAGTGGCCGTGAGAACCATGTCCCCGTGCATTGCCACCTCTTTTCTGGTATCACTGCTCCAAGTGGCAGTAAAGCAAAGCAGCTCCTGCTCCTGCCCATGGCGCTGAGGAGCTAATGACACCGCTCTGGTTGCAGCAGTCAAGGCCGGGGAAAGCCAACGTGGGGATGCTGCAGCACGACTCTGCTCAGCAGAGGTGAGTGCCTCCCTCCCAGGTCATCTTTAGGAGTCTGTGTGTGCTCTTGATCTCTTCTCCTCCTAAATGACCAGCTATTCCCAAGTCTGCCTAATATATGAAGGCAGAAAGCTGTGTTAAGGCTCTGGCTGACACTGATCCAGCCAAGCTCTTCCATGGCTGCTTCTTGGTGGGTGGGTTGTCCAGGGTGCCCTCCAGATATCCCCTGGTGCTCATGGGGAAAGCCATGGTCTGCAGAGTAAAGCCAACCTGCCCTTCCCTTCTTTGTGTAGGCAGGAAGAGGTGGTGTTCTCCAGTGATGATGAGCCCCTGCATGCTGAGGACATGTTTGCAGTAGATGCCCCTGCACAGAAATCTCAGCCGACCTACAAGAAATCTCTGCGACTCTCCTCTGAACAAATTGTATGTACTCCTTTGCTGCCTGCTTGTGTGTGCAGAGGTGAGAGAACCCTTAAATGGGGATTTCTCTACCCCTGATCTCATGGGTTTTATAGGGCATCCAAGTATTTAGCCCTGGGTGGCCAGATGGCAGAGGCTAAAGGGGTCCCTGGTCTGGCCGGATGGCAGTCTGGCCTCTGGCAAGCCTTGGGCTGGTGTGACTTGGTGCTAGTGTACCACTCTTGTTCTCTCCCGGCCACAGAGAAGGCTGAATCTGCAGGATGGCCCTAACGAGGTGGCGTTCAGTGTCACGACTCAATACCAGGGTACATGTCGCTGTGAGGCCACCATCTATCTGTGGAACTGGGATGACAAGGTGGTGATCTCGGACATCGATGGCACCATCACAAAGTAAAGGGCCTTTCTCCCACCCTACATCCCTCTTTCCTGCCATTAGGGGAAAGTGTCCTTTCAAGGCTTGCATAAGCAGCCAGGAAGGACCACACACCGCATCATCTGGATATCCACCAGGCTGGATCAGCCAAACCTGGTTGCCTTTCCTTTTAGGTCGGATGCTCTTGGGCACATCTTGCCACATCTAGGAAAAGATTGGACTCATCATGGGATTGCTAAACTCTTCCACAAAATCCACCTGTAGGTATTGGAATAACTGAGGCCAAGGGGAAGTGGGAGGATGATGGAGGAGAGGCTGAGCAGGAGCCAGAGTCAGGGCTCCTTACTCACTGATGCTGGCCAAAATAGCAGAAAATTAGGCTATCAGTGATGTTTGATGCTGGCTCTCCTGTCCAGATGATGTTGGGCGGTGAAAGCAGGCATCCTCCCCTGGGAGCAGATGCTTGTGTTGCCTTCCCTGGGAGGACCGTGTGTCAGTGGAGGCTTTGCTGGGGAGATGTAGGTGAGTGCTGAAGATGAGATCGCACAAGATTGCACCGGAGAGGTCGCAGGAACATACCTCTGGGTTGCCGTGCAGCAGCGTCACGGGGACCCACCCGGTGCTCCCAGCCCCGTGGATCGGTGCTCAGCTACCCCACGGCACCGACCCGCCCCGAGGTGCGATGCTGTCCCCGCACCCGCGGAGGCTGCAGCGGGACCTTCCGCTCCGTCCCCGG